GTCATCCGTTCTCGTCTCTACCCCCTCGAAGTCGTTCTACATCATCCTCTGCTACGTCCATCTCTTCATCATCTTCAAGAACGATCCGAACGCGTCAAAAATCACAGAAATACTCAGAAAATACACAGAAATACTCAGAGATGTCGAGAGCAGGAGTGCAGCTGACGATCGATGATNAACGGGACATCCTGTTCGATGCCGACAAGCCGTTCTCGATGGTCTACGAGGAGCTCTACCTCGCGGCCATGCGACGCAACCGGTCGAAGGGGATGAAGGAGCCGCAGGTCAAGGGCGTCATCGCCGACATGGTCCGGCGGCAGCTGCGGCCCAACGACTTCCACCGCCGGCTCATGACCACCAGCGGCTGCCGCCACGTCCTCACCACCAACTACGACTACAACCTCGAAGAAGCCTGCACCGGTTCTTTCCCTCTTTGATCACCACCATCAGAATTGCTTCATGATCATCAGTGCACTCTAAACAAACGTTCATTGCAGGTCAGCTGGACCCAGTCGAGCGGGTGCCGTTCGTCAACGAAACGGTTCACTCCCTCTTTCGACGGCACGAGGTGCCGCTCAAGGAAGGTGGTGGTCACCCCACTCCACTCCATGATGTACATTGATAATGACCACATTTGTAACATTCTTTCAACTCAACCGACTCCAGGGAGCGATGACAAGGTGAGCGTATGGCATCTGCATGGCGAGGCGATGAAGCCCAGCACGATGCTTCTCGGCTACGAACACTATGCATCGTATTTGAATGTACATTCCTTGTTGTCGTCGAGGCGAGTGGCGGGAGTGCAGTCCACAATGGCACACACACACACATAACATGAATGCTGTGAGGAATTGCAGAAGGTGCGCGGGTATGTGGTGGACGGCCTCGCCTACCAGTCGCTGCCACCAGAGTACAACGGCACGCTCCGGCCGCTCGTGCGTCGAGTGGCCAAGCAGACCAAGCAGTCAGGCACGTCCACGACCAATCCCCTCATCTACAGCGCCCAGCACACATATGTGGTTGCTAACACAGCTTCTCATATGGTTGCAGCCCAAGAGGAGCCATTGGACGTTATCTCGTGGGTGGACCTGTTCTTTTCGACCGGTACGCTCGTGCCTCGGGCAACAAGTGCGTCGCATTGTCTCTGCACGCCAATAGAACACGCACCACACACCACACACCACACACACCAACACACACCAACACACACGACGCGCTGTGGCCGTTTGACCTGTTATCGCTGCAGATTGCGGATCGAGAACACTATCACGTACCTGACGCCCTCGTTTCTCGCGACGACCGAACCGGAGCGCAGGAAGTGCGCGCTGCTCCGGTCCTACGACGTCCACGTGCACCAGGTGCAGGTGCCGCCCAACGACTGGCACGCCTTCTACGACCAGGCCCTCGAGCACCTTCGCGCCTCCCGCCCCACTCCCTCCTAAACGCCGTGTGTGAGCACTCCAGCCACAAACGATTCTTTTTCTTTAGTCCTGTTCTTCATCATCACCTTCTTCTGTTGCTTCTTCTTCTGCTTCTTTCTGCAATGCGTTCATCGAGAGGCGAACGAGATTGTCAGGCGGGCAGATCTCTGGTGCACCTTGCGCAACTCGGCCGCCGCGAGCTGCATGCAGGGCTCGAGCACGTAGCGATCGGCCGCGGCGTAGAGGTGGACCTGGTCGCGTTCGAACTGGCACGGATGGATGATCGACGTCGCTTGGGGCCGGACATGTCGGGGTGCAGGGGGTCGGTGTAGCACCAGTGGGCAGGTGGCGCAGGGCGAGCGGTGATGAGGCGGTGGTGGGCAGGCCTTAGCGGAAGCTGCCGTTGAGCAGAGCCCGGAACACGGGCGAGCGTGCAATGAGGATCACCTTGGCGGCGTAGACGGGGGTGGCCTGGTCGCCCGCCAGGAATCGTCCACCGCGCTCGCCACTGCGAGTCCAAGAGGCCCTCGCGCGGGTCTCCACTTTGCCGTGAGGCCTCCGTCTTGTATTCTTTTTATGTCTTCTGAGAAAAAGATCAGATAGAAATAATAAAACAAATCAGGAAAACACAAGCCCCCCAAGCTCCCACACAAGGTACGACTCTTTTTCTTATTCTCAGCACATATGGAGTCCACCGGCACAACGGAGTTGCACACGGTTCGCTTCCTGCGCAGGGAAGGCCTGGAGGCGCTCACCCAGAAATTCGGCCTCCTGAACAGCTGCCATGGTGCTCACCCCAACCTGGTCCTCTTCAAGTACGACCAAGTACGCACACGCTTTTTCCCTAAATAATTAATAAATTAAATTATTAAATGTTGATAATCATTATGATTTTATTATTATTATTTAAACTGTATGCCATTGTGTTAGGTGGACTCGCCGTTCGACGCTGTGGAGGTGCAAGAGTGTCGTGGCCTCATCGTGGATAAAGATGACGACTGGGTACTTACGCCCCAGGATATTGTTGTATTACTATTTTAATATTAAAAACCAAATATTAATATATTAATATAAATGCAGCGACCAGTGGCGATGCCGTTCCTCAAGTTCTTCAACTACGGCGAGTCGAACGGCGCCGACGTCGATTGGAGCAAGCCTGTGCGGGTGATGGACAAAGGTGTGTGTCACACAATTTCCCTCCTTTTCATTCTATTCTCATCCTTTAGCACTGGGCTCACCGTTTGTATGTTTGCGTTGGGCGCCAATCGTGTAGTCGACGGCAGCTTATCCACGCTGTACTACTACAAGGGCGACTGGCACGTTTCTTCGTCGGGCAGACCCGATGGCGGAGGGTACGTGCGGTGACCCCCCTGGTGCGTGTGCGGTGGTGCGTGTGCGGTGGTGCGTGTGCGTGTGCGTGTGCGGGCTTCTGAACTGAACAGAGAGTTACTTTTCGCGTGTCGAACAATGATAGGGCCGTCTATCGAACGGACAGGTCGGACCCCAACCGTAAGCTCTTCCGCGATCTGTTCTGGCAAACATGGAAGGCCATGAACTACACCCTGCCCGACGTACGCGTACCCGGCTTCGGCCCAGTCAAGTCTTTCGAAACTAATAGTTATTATAATTATTCTTATTAGGAGGAGCACCAGCACTACTGCTTCATGTTCGAACTCTTCTCGGCCGAGAACAGGATCATCGTTTCTCCCCAGGAGGAACTACTCCTCTTGACCGGCGCCAGGTACGCACTTTTACTTCGATTGTAAATGTTGTGTGTCGTCGTCGTCGTCATCGTTGTTGTGTGTCGTGTGCGCTGACGGAGTGAATGGTGTGGAATGCCAGGAATATGCAAACACTGCAGGAAGTGGACCCGGCCATCTTTGCCGAACGATACGGCTGGCGCATGCCCCAATTGTACGCCAGGGCCTCCTCCTCCCATAAAGGTTAGGCGCCGCATGAGCCCCAGGGGGGCCAAAAGGGGTCCCTAACCGGCGGTGCACCACACGGTTGGGGGCAGATTCGAGTTCAAGAGCCTGGCCGAGGTGACCGAGGCTGCCAAGGGCATCAACCCGCACTTCCGTGAGGGGTTCGTCGTGTGCGACCACCGCTTTAATCGATTGAAGGTGCGTGTGTGCCCCAACGTGTGCGTGTGCGGTGTAGCGCTAACGTGTTGTGTGTGTCGCGTGTGTCGCGTGTGTCGTGTGCCATGTGTGGCGTGTGTGTTGGGGTACACGCGACATGCAGATCAAGAGTCCGCTGTACGTAGCTTTGGCCCATCTGACCCGCAAGGACAAGAGCGCGCTGAACAAGCGGAGAATGCTGGATATTGTGCGACACAACGAGGGCGGCGAATTCCTCACCTACTTTCCCCAGTGGACGTCCCTCTACAACCAGGTCAAGGAAAGGTACGACGCGTAAGAATGTTATAAGGCGATCGCCTGCTCGATCACCGCAGCTCGACGGGGCTGAGCGCGGCGCCTGTGCAGGTTCGACGAGCTTTGCAACCAGGCGGAGAGCGCGTGGGAGGAGCTGAAGGGGATCGGTAATGAGCGAGACTTTGCCAACGCGTGCCGCACTCGGTACTTCTTTCTTTTTTAATAATTTATATTATTTATATATATTTATCTTATATTATAATTATCTTGTTTGGTGGTCAGAGCACAGCTCACCTTTCGCCCGTGCAGCAATGTCGCCGACTACCTCTTCGCGAGAAAGAAGGACCGAGTAGGCAGCGCCAGGGCGTTCTATGGCGGGATGCCGGAGAAGAAGCTGGAACAGATACTGCCGCGATGGAAGGCCCTCGTCGACACCACGCCCAGCCTGACCCCCCTGGTGGTGGAAGCCCAAACTGACGATGAAGAGGCCAGCACCGCCACCACCGAACTGCCGGACGAGGAGGAACGCAACGTGGTCTAAAGAGGCGCTGTGATTATTTTTCTCTGATCCACAAGCGTTCAACAAGGCTTCCCCTCTTGCAAGCCAAAAAGAATGAACATGGCTGGTGGAACACTTTATTGTTTTGTGGTGAGCAGCAGAAGCTCCTCTAACTGATCGCCAACCACTCGTTGGTCCCGGCTGGTGCACGCGTGGAAGGGACACCACGAAGCACTCCTGTACGAGATAAGAAATGTAAGTACAGAGAGAAAGAAGAGAACGACGGTGATGCAAGGAAAAAGGGTGCTCGTGTGGCAGAAGTTCAGGGTTGACGAAGTAACATCAGAAAGATCAGTCCGAAGTGATACTATTGTTTAACATCATAACGGCCACGAAAGAGAAGGGGGAGGGGGAGGGGAAGAACGTACGTTGGCAGCTGAACAGTTACCGCAATGCGCGAGTCAGTGACGTGCGAGCTTGACTGGCGCCAGTGGTCTGTTGTGAGAAAGGCTGGGTTAGAGGTGGGTGAGGAGACGCGAGTGTGGAGAGTATGCGATGAACGCTGGCGAGGCGGAGAAAGGGGGTTGTTTCAGATAGAAATGAGGTGTGATCTTGCGCGAAGCGCCCCATGTGCAAGGGAAGAAAAACTCCGCCCTCGCTAGGAGCGCGACGCATCAGATTACGCGCATGAAAGTTTAGGTGTCATCAGGTGCACCCCCCCCCGCACGCCCGCAGACTTATAAGAAAAAGGGTGTCTGGGAGGCCGTACCACTGAAGGGACGCTCAAGGGCACCGTTGGAGAAGGCGAGCAGGCGCGGAGCAAGCTAACACACCTGTGATGAGCGAAACGAGAATGTCAGGCCGATCGGTGCATAACAGAAGATCATGTAAAGATGGACACATAGAAAGAGGAGTGCTTCATTTCGGCAAAATGTTAGTCTACATGCACCGCCAAAGGCGGCTGATAGCGGTAAAGTGTAATCCTGAGCAATCCTTCCTCTTCCAGCGCGCGTAGACACATAGGTGGGANCACATACCTTGGACTAACA